ATCAATCAATCAATCATCTATCTAGTGTTTTCATTTTGCTTTTTGTTTTTCTTGTACAGGCACAACAATAGTTTTTATAATGATTTTCCCTTGGTTATGCTCCCTAATTACAATTTTGTTTTATATCTTTAATTAATTTGTATTTTTGTCCTCAAAACTATATGAGATTTTTCTCAAACAGATTCTCAATGTCTGTAATTCATCTGGATGTTTTAATTGTGTTGTTTTCTCCTCCTGATCATGTTTGTAAATTGTACAGTAGCATACACATCTTAATTCCATTCATAAATAATCTTTGCATCACTTTCGATGACTTATATCACTCCTGTTTCAAAAGAGTACTTTTGGAGAATTTCGGAGTTTACAAATGGGTTGTTTTAGCCTGCAATTTCATTTTGTTTCTGTTGAAAATCATCCATCACATGTTATTCATCTCTATACTGTCTGACATTTCTTGTTTTCCATTTATTTTGCTACTGTACTTGAAAAAGAACTGTGTAAAATTCATCTTGTTGCTGTGTTTTTCTTTCCCTTTGCTGATTTGTGAAGAGATGCAGTTCTCTGTGTGCTTTTAAAAAAAAAAAATTAATTCATTTATTTATGCACACAAGAACTGGGGTGTGGGCCAGAGGTGTGGAGGGGGAAGGGGTGAGAGGATTCACCAGAGGCAGAGTGGGGAACAGAACAGGCAGACTGACTGAAACACACTGTGGAGGGGAGAAGTGGGCAAGTCAGGAGAGGTCTGCTGCGCCATGTGGGTCTCCTCTCTGGCCAGGGATCGAACTTGTGCTTCAGCGGCCACAGATACCTTCACAGGCTGCGTCCCAACCCCTTGAGCCACCAGGGAGGCCCTCTCTATATGCTTAATCTTTAATCAAAAATATTGTGATTAGAATGACATGTATTCTTCTTCCTGCTTAGATGTGTGATTTTTAATTTTTGTTATAGAAATTGCAAATGGGTGATCTCAGGGTTGATATTATGCATATTGTATTTGATTGTTGGAATGATCATTTATGTACTTGCCTAACTTTAAAGAAATTTGCATACGGTTCCCATAAGATCGAAGCATGCTCTATCTAGTTGTGGGGCTCCCTGAAAATGACTTTCTCTTCATTAACACTTTTTTCATGGGATGTATTTTATTACAAGATCTGTGTCCTTGACCAGGGCTGCTTTCTATTCTCTTATAGGCTGTATTTTTCAGATAGAGTGCATATCAACGGAGTTTTATGCGCTATATTTGTTTCTTAAAATCAAACAAAAAGCAATGAGAAATAAATGTTAAGACAAGGTGAAAGCTAATGACCAGTCCTGACTGAATGATTCACTCATATATTCTATCTTCAAGAAGATATGCAACTTTTAGACATTATGAAAATGTTTTCATTCTTTTGTTTTAGAGATATAGTTTCTCTTTAATATAAGTACAGTACAATATGAATCAACTATGTTAAATGTCAGAATAAAAGTTATTTTCTCTAAGTAGTCATGCAATTCAAGGTCAGGGAATAGCTCTCACCTTTCATGACATCTGGGTTTACAAATGATGAAATGTGGAGATCCAGGCACACATCCATCTCTTTTTCATTTGAAATCATTTCAGTAATCCAGCACCTCTCTGTTATATGTATTGATATAGAGAGAAAATGTAAAAGCATTTTCCAGAAAGAAGGTTATTTTCAGAAATTGGAAGTATGTAACCATACTACATTTTCACAATAAAATGAAACTATCCTTTCTCAAAAATTTAAGGTGATGAAAATTACATTGCTTATTATTTTTTTGTTTCTGAAGACAGGAAATGAATAACCATTACAAGTATAAAGTATAAAAGGTTGCTGGATTTTATATGTAACTGCAATATATAAATAGACATATACATTTTGAACCTGGAGTGGCTAAATGTGAACAAATAAGCAAACTAATCTTTGCTAGAGAAGACTGTTCTGAAGAGTAATAAAATAGAGATTAAATTGTCTCTCCCAGGATATATTCTGTGAAAATAATCAAAGTCGTCCACAAAGATGGAATTTACTGCCTGGTCACCTTGAGACCACATTGACTACAGCCCGGGTGTCTCCAGTGTCCTTGCGCCATGGCGCCACCTAGTGGAAAAGGATGTAGCTGCTACAAGTCATTTTTTTTTTTTTTTAATACATTCGTGTCCTTGGAACACAAAACCAAAAAAGCATAAAAACGAGACCACAAAACGGCGCTTTTCTCTGTGATTGCGTGTGACTTTGATTTCCCTTTTAGTATTTATTTCTGTACTTTCCAAACTTCTACACATTTATGAAAAAGTATTTTTCTTTTTCAATCATAAAACGATTTTTAAAGACATTTTCCGACTTTGGCCTTGATCTCATCATTCTTGCTGTTTCCAAGATCTGTGGCTCAAAAACAGTTTACATCAGAACCCTGGGTGCAGGAAGGGGCGCACCGAAAAATTCAGTCTGCGCTTTGAGCGTCCACCCGTCCAGTGACTCTTCGCCTAGGGGACGCTGAAGTTCGCACCACCTCGGATGTAGCAACCAGGCAAACGGGGGAAAACCTTCCTGCAGTAGGAAGGAACAATGGGTTTTAAGATCTGTTCAGGGAGTTCTTTTAATTGGAAAAATTGAAATCTTTCACGCTCATTTTAAAAAAGCTATTCTCTGTCTTGGCCAGAAGATGGCGCAGGTGTTCCATTTACTACTCCCTGTGGCGTTAGAAGAAAATCTTATGGGAAAGAAATTGCTGGGTAGTCAGAAGAGCCTCCACCCCAAACTGGGACTCGCAAGAAGAAACGGGAAATAATTTTTAATAATGAGTGGTGCCAGGTGTCCCGTCCCCATACGAATCTCTCTCTCTAGGGAAAGACAGGCAGATTTCGGGCGGGCCCTTGGACCAGGGCAAGGCTCTGGGGTGGAAACAGCAGCCAGGAAAGGACAGAGGCTCCAGCCCCTGGGCAGGGGGAGACAGACGCTTTAGACCCCCTGAGAGCTCCACCTCTTCCTCGCGGCAGCCCTGGGTCAGGGGAAGATTCAGCTCCTGCTTTCATGGGGAGTAGGAGGGTCAGTGTTCTTGAGCCAGCTTTTTCTCAAGGTCCTTTCATGCACAGAATCAGTGGGCCAAGCGGCATGGGGTGGGGGGCGTATTCTGCTCCCTTGCAGGTAGATGTGTCAGCGGAGGGGTGTAGACTGCAGCCTGCTAGGGTCTTCCCTTCCATATTCCCGTGGACCCTGGCGAGCTGGAGACTTCGGTTCAGAAGGCGCCCTCTTGGACAGGTGTTCGCACCCGGGGGATGTCCCCACAGTGAGTCCGGTCATCACTCTGTAACATGGGAAAGACCGAAAGGGGCGGGGGTTAGGGGGGAGGTACAGAGACTCCTCCGTAGCTCAGGCACGTTGTTCAGGCAGGTTTGTTCCAGGACAGACACACGAGGCGGCGGAGACTCCAACAGCAAGTCCCCTAAACTACTCAGGGGCCTAAGGACCGGTTAGGGGTGTCTCTCCTTCCGCAGCCCCTGGAGGGGGGACTTGCAGAGAGGATTCAGCAGCCGCTGCCCAAAGGCGGGGGCGGTCATTGTAGTGGTCACAGGACTGTGATCCCTCCTCTGCTCTACTCTTCGCCTTCCTCTCTGGCTTCTGCAACTCATGTGATCTTGGCTGGATTCCTTAGTCTTGATTTGTGAGCCTCAAAGGTAATGGGCTGCTGTGTCCCCTGTCGACCTCCTCATCATGATGTGATCTCTGTTCTGCTCTTTGGAATTAGCATGAGCACCTCTCTACTGGGCTCCATGCACACAACCACAGCAGAGCACCAGGCTGACCAAACACAACAGGCAGTTATAACTTTTTGACAATATAATTTGGGCCGTAGCTATTGTCACTGTCCTTTACTGAGCTGTACTGAGGATGAAGACAATGTAAAATGAACTCTTAGATCAAGCTCCGGAAATATTGTAAACACCCTCAAATACTCGTTTTTTTAAATTCTTCTCTATGCTGTTTTGTTTTCTTTCTATTTTTAGTCAGTTTCTTAGATTCTTCCCATCACTTGCTATTAATGCTATCGAGCCCCTCTACTGTATTTGTTCCTTATTTATTTTTATTTATTGATAGTTATTGTCTGACATCATTGTTCATTTTTGTAGACTATTTGACTTCTCCTCTCAGGCATAGTTCCCATAATTGTCCCCCCACCACAGCACACTTGTACTGTCAGTGTAGTCCCTTGTGATTTTCCCTCCCCTAATTTGACCCTCCCCCTCCACTGCTGTATGCCTCAGACCTATGGGTGCCTGCAAGTTCTTTTTTTCTGACCCTTCATTCAGTTTCCCTATAGTCCACCTATAAATGAAACCATCCAATATGGATATATTTCCTTCTGATTTATCTCACTTAGCATCATCCATTCCAGCTCCATCTATGATGTTGAGTGGCATGAGTTTATCTTTTTTGATGGCTGAGTAGTATTCCATTGTGTATGTAGTCCACATTTTGATCCATTCATCTCTTGGCGGGCATTTAGGCTGTTTCCATAACTTGGCTATTGTTAATGGTGCTTCAGTGAATATCGGAGTGCAGGTTTCCTTTCAAATTAGTGTTTCTGTGTCCTAGGAGTGGGATCACTGGGTCATATGGCAGGTCCATCAAATATTATTTATTAATGGACAGAATAAACTGAATACTACATTGCCACTAAAGAAGTCAAGTATTTAGGCCACTTGTCCTTAGGAACCTGGAGCCGCTGCGCATAAGCTGGGGAGCACAGTCACTTGGCCTTGGCCACCCCTGGGGCAGAGTCTGGAGGCTGAGCGCTCCCCATCATTTATTGAGTAATCTATCCGAGTTCTACTTTCTGTTCCAGAAAGGAATGCGTTTTATGTTCTAAATTCTGATTAAGACGCCTGGGTCTATTTCTAGACCATCTGTAACAGAAGCCCGGTGGGGACTGGTCACTGCAGGTTTAAAGATAGTTTCTAGTCAGGAGGCTGTGGCCGGCAGCTCACACACACACGCCCGTTCACGCCCATGTTCACGCCTGTGTGCTTGGTTCGTGCCTTGTTCTGTGGCACCCCCATGCGTGTGCACTGCACCCCACCTAGTGAGGGACACCCCTTCATTTAGACTGGGGGACGGTTGACAACGTTTGGGAATATCTGTGTGTGTCACAAGTAGACGGAGAGTGAGGAGGCCACCACCGTCGGGGGGGGGGGAGACCAGGGACATGGTGAGACCCCAGTCATGCCCAGAAGAGCCCCCTCCCCGCAAACAGCCAGAGCAGTGGTGCAGGGCCTGGCGGTGGCGGCCAGTGCGCGCCGCCCACGGTAAAGCGACTGCAGCTGCTGCGTTTCCCACACAGACCCTCGGCCGCCTGCATCCCGGTGCGGCCGGCGGGCAGCGGAGCCCGGGCCTGCCTGGCCAGAGATGCCGTCTCCGGGCAGCGCCGGGCGGGCAGCAGCGGGGAGCGGCAGGACACGCGGGGCCCCCAGCGGCTGGTTCCCCCAGAAGATCTGAACACAGCCCCATGCCAGGCTCCCCAGCCCAGAGTTGCACAGAGGGGGGCGCCTGTACCCCCTGCCCAGGCCGCGAGGCTGGGGCTGTGCAGAGACGCCCCCGCAGCAGCAGGGGTTGCGGGGGACGCCGGGGGTCCCGGCCACATCCCGGGCACCGCCCCCGCGAGCTGCAGCGCACAGTCGCCCCGAGCCGGGGCAACCTCTGGTGGCATGGGGCCCCGCCTGCGGCTCCGGAGCTGTGGGCGCGGGCGCGGCTCCCGGGCAGGGGGCGCTGGTGTCCCGGACGCTGCCTCCTGGGACCGCAGGGACCGGTCTGCGGGCCAGCGCTGTCCAGGGAGGGCCATGGGAGGCGGCCATGGCAGCCTTTCCCTTGGCTTGTGCTTGGATTTTGCTCCTTTTCCTTCAGCCCCTCCTGCCCCTCCTGCCCCTCCTGCCCCTCCTGCCCCTTTCCCGGGGTTCCTGCCAGATGGGGCCTCAGACTGCTGCAGCTCCCAGGCCTCAGGGGCCCTGTTTGGGCCACCTCTGTCGGGGGATTTACCCACAGGGTAGGGATGACTCTGGGTGTTTTCGTTGGAAAGCAATTTTCATTTTTGCCTAAATTGAAGTTGCTAATTTTTATTTCTTTTATTTTATATATTTTTACATCATTATTATTTTTGTACAGTGTATGCATTTTCATCTTGGTTATAGTCCTCGTAAAATTCTCCCCTCCACCCTCCCTTGTTTTGATTCTACTCCCTTCTCCCCCTCCTGTAGTGTGTCTCTGGTTTATAGTAGCCTATTGATTTTGCTTTTTACTTTATTATAATCAGTCTTTTTCCTGGTCCCATATTTGGGTTTTCTAAATTCCTGCTATGAGTGAGACCATCTGATATTTTTCTTTTTCTTTCTGACTTATTTCACTGAGCATGATCCCTTTCAGCTCCATCCATGTTGCTGTAAATGGCATGAGTTTATCTTTTTTGATTGCTGAGTAATATTCCATTATGTATATATACCACATCTCCTTGATCCAGTCGTCTATTTTGGGTCAATTGGTTTGCTTCCAGGTTTTCCCTATTGTAAATAGTGCTGCAATAACCATAGGGTGCAGGGGTCCTTTTGAATTAACATTTTTGTGTCCTTTGGGTAGGAGTGGAATTGCTGGGTCATATGGAAGCTCCATTTCTAGTAGATTGAGGAACCTCTAGACAGCTTTCCACAGTGGCTGCACCAGTTTGCACTCCCACTAGCAGCTAAGGAGAGTTCCCTTTTCACCACATCTTCACCAACATTTGTTGTTGCTAGTTTTTTTAATATGTGCCATTCTCACTGGTGTGAGATGGTATCTCATTGTAATTTCGATTTGCATTTCCCTGATTACAAGTGATGTTGAACATTTTTATATGCCTGTTGGCTATTTGCATTTCCTCATTGGAGAAGTTTCTTTTTAGCTCTTCTGCCCATTTTTTGACTGGGTTGTTTACTTTGTTTTGTTGAGTCTCATCAGCTCTTTGTAAATTTTTGTGATCAGTCCCTTATCATTAGTGTTGTGTGCAAATATTTTCTCCCAATCAGTGTGGTGTCTCTTTGTTTTGGTTACTGTCTCTTTTGCTGTAAAGAAGCTCTTTAGTTCGATATAGTCCCAGTTGTTTATCCTTTTCTTCACTATCACTGCTTTGGGTGATATGTCTTTAAAGATGTTACTGAGGTGTATGTCATGTATTGGTTCACCTCTATTTCCTTCTATACATTTTATGGTTTCAGGTCATTTCTAGTTCTTTAAGTCCATTTTGAGTTGTTTTTTGTGCATGGTGTGAGGCAGTAGTCAAGCTTCATTCTTTTGCATGTAGCAGCCCAGTTTTTCCAGCACCATTTATTGAACAAACTTTCTTTGCTCCATTGCATATTCTTTGCTCCTTTGTCAAATATCAGTTGACTGTAAATTTATGGGTTTTTTTTTTCCTGGGTTTTCTATTCAATTCCATTGATCTGTGTGTGTGTTCTGGTTTCAATACCATGCAGTTTTGATTATTATAGCTTTCTAGTATACTTTAAAGTCTGGGAGTGTGATACTTCCATTCCTTTTTTTTTTTTTTTTCAGCAGAGCTTTGGCTATTTGGGGGTTTTGGTGGCTCCATATGAATTTCATCAATATTTGTTCTATTTCCTTGAAGAAAGTCATTGAAATTTTATTGGAATAGCATTGAATCTGTAAATTGCTTTTGGTAGGATGGCATTTGGATGTTAATTCTTCCAATCCATGAGGAGGATATGTCTTTCCATTTCTTTGTGTCTTCTATTTCTTTTAACATTGTTTTATAGTTTTCTTTGTATAGGTCCTTTACCTCTTTTGTTAGGTTTATTCCCAAGTATTTGATTTTTTTTTTTTTGTTTCAATAATAAAAGGGATGGTTTTCTTGATTTCTTCTGCTTCAGATTTATTGTTTGTATATAGGAAAGCTACTGATTTTTATGTATTGATTTTGTATCCTGCTAATTTACTAAACTGGTTGATTAGTTTGATTAGTTTTTCTGTGGAGTTTTTGGGGTTCTCTATGTTTATTATCATATCATCTGTGAATAGTGATAGTTTTACTTCTTCCTTCCCTATTTGGATTCCTTGTATGTCTTTCACTTGCCTTATTGTTCTGGCTAGGACTTCCAGTATTGAAAAGCACTGGTGAGAGAGGATATCATTGTCTTGTTCTAGATCTTAAGGAAATGCTTTCAACTTTTCACCATTGAGAATGATATTGGCTATGGGCTTGTCATATATGGCTTTTATCATGTTGAGGTATGTTCCTTGTATCCCGAGAATTTTGAGGGCCTTTATCATAAATGGGAGTTGTACTTTGTCAAAAGCTTTCTCAGCATCTATTTATATTATCATATGGTTTTTATATTTCTTTTTGTTGATGTGTTGGATTACATTGATTGATTTTCAGATGTTGAATCATCCTTGTGTCCCTGGAATAAATCCTACTTGGTTGTGGTGAATTTTCTTGTGGATACATTGGTGGATTATGTTAGCTAAAATTTTATTGAGGACTTTTGCATCAGTGTTCATTACAGAGATTGGCCTGTAGTTTTCTTTTTTTGTGTTGTCCTTGTTCAGTGTTGGTATTAGTGTAATGTTGGCTTCATGGAATGTGTTTGGTATTATCCCTTCCTTCTCAATTTTTTGAAAGAGTTTGTGAAGGACAGCCACCTGTTCCTTTCTGAATGTTTGGTAGAATTCATTTGTAAATCCATCTGGTCCTGGGCTTTTGTTTTGGGGGAGGGTTTTGGTTACCATTTCAATTTCACTGCTTGTAATTGGTCTTTTGGGTGTTTTATTTCTTCTTTATCTAGCTTTGGGTGATTGTAAAGTTGTAGGAAGTTGTGCATCTCTTCTAGATGGTTGAACTTGTTTGCATATAACTGTTCATAGTAGTTTCTGATTGTTTTTATTTCTGCTGTGTCTGTTGTGACGTCTCCTCTTTCATTTGTAATCCTATTTATTTGTGCTTTCTCCCGTTTTTTTTCTTTGTGAGCCTGGCTAGGGTTTGTCTATTTTATTTTTTTTTGAAGAACCAACTTTTGGTTTCATTGACCTTTTAGGTTGTTTATTTAATTTCTATTTTTTCTGCTTTGATTTTTATTATTCCTTTCTTCTACTGGTTTTAGGGTTTTCTGTTGTTCTTTTTCTAGTTCTTTGAGATGTGAGAGTTGAGTTTTTTGAGTTCTTTGAGTTCTTTCTTGTTTCTTGATGTGAGCCTGTATTGCTCTATATTTTCCTCTTATTACTGCTTTTGCTGTGTCCCATACATTCTGGAAATTGGTGTCTCCTTTTCATTCAACTCAAAGTATTTTTTTAATTTCTTCTTTGATCCCCTCGTTAATCCAGTCATCTTCCAGTAGCGTTGGCTTCAATCTCCATGAGGTAGGAGGGTTCCTTGCCTTCTTTTTTTTTTAGGTTTATTTCTAGTTCGATGCCTTCATGTCAGAGAAGATATTTGTATGATTTCAATCTTAGTGTCTCTGTTGATGTTTGTCTTGTGTCCCCATATGTGATCAATCCTGGAGAATGATC